AACCGCTCTCAAAGAGCTGGGTCTTGCTCCAGCGCGTGGCACCGAGCAGCCATGGCAATAGGACTATGATCTCTGGCCTCATTGCGCACCCCTGGGACCTTCTGGCTGGCCCCTCTCCTATCTGTGACAGCCCCCTCAGGGCACTGGGCTGGTATGGGTGGGGAGAGCGTAGGGGTAGCAGGCACCGTCTCTGCCTGGGACCCGGGCCGTGGGGCTGGTACAGGTGGGGGAGCACAGGACTGGGCTCACCCTGTATATCCCTTCCTCTATGGCTGCCTCCACCATGGCTCTCTCCAGCTCCTCCTCAGCCGTCAGGTCCCCAGAGATGGCTCGGCGGACCTCCGGCGCGGCTTCCTCCTCAATGCTTCTCAGGCCAGCCTGGTTGGAAGGACAGAGATGGGGAGGTCACTCACAGGGCAATCTGGGGGCGAGGGCCAGCCCCTGAACCCTGAGCTCTGCCCCACTGAGCCCACGATGTCCTGCCAACATCCCCAAGGTGCCTGCTGGTGCAGCAGCCTCTCCCACGGCCTAGCTCTGTGCCCTGGGAGTGAGGAAAAGGGGGCCCAGAGACGTGGCTTCCTGCAGTGGGGCGGGAGGAGGGAAATGGGCGGAGCCAGGGGGTGTCTCAGAGCATGGGGGTTTCTGTCCCTGCAGGGCATAGCTCACCTCGCACATGCCCCCAGAAGAGGTGGTCCCGCGCCCCGGAGTGAGGTGGGGGAGCCAAGACACAGCTGCATTCCAGGCAGGACAAGAGAAATACCCGTCTCCCCCGGGGAGGAGTCCTCTGTGCTCTGGGACCCGCCTGCCAGGACTGGAGACTGGACTCCCGTGGAAACTCGGGTGGGGCTGCTCATTCCATCAGCCACGAGCCTCAGACCTTCCCCTGCTCCCAGCCTCTGTGGCCCCATTTCACAGGTAGGGAAACTAAGGCAGGCAGGAGGGAAGCAGCTCAGTGGCAGAGCGGGGAGAGGCCCCAGGAGTCCTGCTGCTGCTCTCCACCGTGCTGCCTGCAGAGACCCAGCCTGGGGCGTGCCGGGGCAGGGCCCCCTTTCTGCTGCAGGAAGGGCGGGCTGGGGACCCCAGCTCTGAGATTCCATCCCTAGGCACCGCAGGGACCGAGGGCCAGGCCCCGAGAGCTGCCTTGGTCCTGGGCAGCCTCCTCCACCTCAGGACGGTTCCTCTTCCCATGGGCTCCCCCCCCCCCCCCCGCCCGTTACACACGGCCCTCACTTTTGGCTCAGCTGGTTCCTGCCCGGGCTCCCCATGCGACACCCCCTTTGTGAGGCCCCATTTCCAGTGTCCCTCGGGACAGCGCTGACACCCGCAGACCGCGCCCCTCTGCAACTCCCTTTGCTCAGCTCTAGTCCTGGGGCTCCTCTTCCACCACCCACAGACCCCCCCGGTCACCTTCAAACAGAGAGGCCTCCTTCCCACCTTGCCCGGCACATAAGGACACTGCCACCCAGCTCTGTGCATGAGGAGATCCCAATGCGCTTTACCACGGAGGTCAGCATCACACGCCCAGTTTTACAGATGGGGAAACTGAGGCACAGAGCAGGGCAACGGCTTGCCCCAGGTCCGCTGGTGGCACGGCCCATGTCTCCTGAGTCCCAGGCTCTGCCTCCAAGCTGGCTGCTCCAAGCAGGCCCAAGGGGTGGCTGGGACGCCCAGCCCCATTCGCACTGACCTGGATAGCGACGGCGTTCTTTTTGGGCCGATAGCCGTAATACTCCTCCTGGCGCTTGATGAACTTCCTGAAGTGCTCCTGGATGAGGAAGGTCGCGTAGAACTTGCCCACGGTCACCTCATCCTCTGGAGGGGAGAAAGCCAGGCGAGGCTGTGAACACTGCCGTGCCGCTGAGCAGAGGGCAGGGGAGAACTAAGCCAGGGAGGGGAGCAAAGAGAGCACGGTGCCCGGGCCATGCGTGGGAAGACCCACCTCCGATCGGCGGAATGACCTGGTCCAGGAGTTTCATGCTGGTTCTCTTCCAGATCTTCTTGATAATGGCTCTCAGCTCTTCGTTGGCCTGCTCAAAGTTACCTGCAGGGGAACAAGCCACCAATCCGCGCGTGACTCTGTCGCACCACGGTGCCTGAAGGGTGGGTGGCGGCACGGTGGGATGACACGCTTTGGTGTCGTGACACCGGGGCCCCACACAAGGCTGTGGGGTGACAGAACAGTCCCTCGGCCCAAGCCACGGGAGAACGGCTTGAGGAGGTCAAATGGCCCTGCTGAAATTGGGACAATCCTAGAAAAATGGCGGGTGAGCCTAGGGAGGGGGCTCAGGCAGCATGCTGGGAGCGTGGGCTTTCACGTGCTAAAGAGGGATCCGTCTGGTCTGGCTGTGGACGGGAGGTTCTGCAGGCACCCCTGGGTGCTGCAGGAAGTGGCCATAGTAGGGGCCACCATAGGGGTGAGGCTATTGGCTCTTGAGATATGAAACTGATCATTTGTGGCCACTGAAAATGCCAAGAGCACCTCATCACAAGCGCTGACCCTCAGGGACTCCCCAGCTTCCAGCCGCCCCCGCCTCCCTGTGCCGTGTGACATCGATGGAACTGTGGTTCACCTTCCCGTCTTTGCCGGTGGGGTGGGACCGCTCCATGCACTCCAACAGCGGCTGTATCCCACCCCAGAGATGGCGGTCACTCGCTGTGTGCTGTGGGAATTCTTCTGAGAGGTGTGTCCTGGGTTACTCCACTCCAGGTGCGCATGTGCCCCGTGCATCTCTGAGTGGAGATTTTCACTAGCCGTTCCCACTCACCCCAGGCATGCTCTCCTAATACCCTCCTACCGGGGATACCCAGGGCTGCACAGCAGTGTCCCCTCTAATTTTTCCCATCCATGTGTGGAATAAATGCTGTTACACGCACCATGGCATGTGCGGATGTGCACCATCAGGAGAAACACAGGCTGCTGGCTGTGGGCCCTCAGCACCTGGATCTCTCCTGGGTGGCTGCCCATGCACTCAGCTTACAGGGACCACAGCTGTGCAGGCAAACCGCCCTGAAGTCCCATGAGCTGGAGTACTGTGTCCAGTTCTGGGCGCCACATTTCAAGAAAGATGTGGAGAAATTGGAAAGGGTACAGAGAAGAGCGACAAGAATGATTAAAGGTCTAGAGAACATGATCTATGAAGCCAGGCTTCATGAACTGGGCTTGTTTAGTTTGGAAAAAAGATTAAGGGGGGACATGATAGCGGTTTTCAAATATCTAAAAGGGTGTCACAAGGAGGAAGGCGAAAATTTGTTCCTCTTGGTTTCTGAGGACAGGACAAGGAGTAATGGGCTTAAAGTGCAGCAGGGGAGGTTTAGATTGGACATTAGGAAAAAATTCCTACCTGTCAGGGTGGTCAAATATTGGAATAAATTGCCAAGGGAGGTGGTGGAATCTCCCTCTCTGGAGATATTTAAGAACAGGTTAGATAGACATCTGTCAGGGATGGTGTAGACGGAGCTTGGTCCTGCCTTGAGGGCGGGGGGCTGGACTCGATGACCTCTCGAGGTCCCTTCCAGTCCTATGATTCTATGATTCTATGAAACGCAGAAGCGGAGGGGAAGGAGGATGGGGGGTGGAGTGCCCCTAGGACCCATCTTGAAGAACTCCAGTTTCTGCCCAATTGAATAGCGTCTCCTTTGTTTCCAAGTAATCCCAACGGATGCTCCACTTCACGTGACTGCCGGGCTGAAGAAGGTGGGATCCATGGAGCTGGATCCAATACTGAAGAATAGCTGCCTCTGACCTTGAGGCGTGTACCAGGGCCCCGTGTTTGGAAGACGGGTGCACCGAAGCCTCAGCAGTCGCTGTGCAAATTTCAGCCATCGCTGCACGAAGCGGCTTGACGGCAGGCAGTAGAATGGGCCAGTCTTCTCGAAGGTTAGGGGTCTGGTAAAGGCAAGAATGCATCTAGAAACCCCACCGGGGGAGTCTCTGCATCTGTCCAGAACTGAGATAAGCAGCCTGGGGAGCTGCTGCAAAGGTTTGGTGTGTCCAAAGAGAAGCCTAGCGCCCATCTCACCCCTCTAGCCTGGCTGGTTCTGGGGAAAGTGGGTCACGGGGTGTGACGTAGTGGGGGTAACTTGCTAGGGCTGTGGCGACCTCTGCTGTCTGTAACATGAGTCATTATGCAAAGGGGGCTCCAAACCTGTCTGACCAGCTACCCCCCATGGGGAGAAACAAAGGAAGGGGGATGCTGCCCTGGCTGGGGGGCAGGGTGGAGGAGAGTTCAGTTAGTTTTTGCTGGCTGGGAGCATGGAGGAAGCAGCCTCAGCAACAGGCTGGGGGGTTTAGAAGCCGAGACCCCCCCCATATCAAGGGGGGCTGAGGCATCCTAGGCCTGCCCTGTAACCTAGTGACATCTGTGCTGTGCTGTATCCTGGAGAGGCAATAAACTCCCTCTGTTCTACCGGCTGGTGGAGTCTGTTTGTGCCATTTCGGGGGTGCAGGAGGCGGGGGACCCCCAACGCGCCGTCACACGGGGGTGACGTGCAAACCCGAGGGTATTTAAGGGATGTGCTTGGGAAGCAGGACTAACAATACTTCATCCTTGCAGCAAACAGGGAAGGGGCAAGGAATCAGCCATCAGTGCTTCCTGCCCCAATGGGGCCACGTTGGTAGATCAGTGCCCCAGAGCGCACAGAGTTAGCATTGCAAAGGGAGACAGCATGAGACAGGCTCTGCAGGAAAACGTTAACCGATTCCTGGATGAATTTTGCCATCGTGGGATGAGCAAAGCCTGAAATGCTCAGGGGAATGGGAGGCTAGCGTTGCTAATGAGCGAGCCCAGACAGAACTCATAGGAAAACCTGCTCTAAATCCAAGAGACCATCGAAGGCAGGGGGGAGGGAATTAGGACCAGGCTCCGTTTGGAAGGAAGGTATTTCTGGAGGGATCTTCCTGCTGTTCCACAGGGCCTGCTGGAACTCAGTCGAACGGGAAACTTCCCACGACGGCTGACGAGCCAAGCTCTGAGTCAGAGGATGGACAGGACAGTCCAGCTGGTGCAACTAGAAGGACTCTGGTGTTGCCCGCTTTGGTCTTGCCCAACGCCCTCGAAATCAGCGGTGTCAGGGGAGACATACGGGCTGGGCACACGGGCTGAGAGCTGCCTCCTCGCAGCCGATGCCCCAGGCCTCGTTTCACACAGAACTGTTTGCACGTTTGGTGGCACAGATGCCCACGTCCAGGCCCCGCCCCGCAGGTCAGCAATATCTGTCTGGAGATCGGAGGGACCAATTCCCACTGCAAGCGCGGGAGCCACGTCTGCTCCGCTCCTTGGCCATGGCGTGCTACACACCTGGAAGGTAAGAGGCTGGAACGAGGACGTGGCTGGCTTGACACCACTTCCGTAGCCGTATTGCTTCAGTGCAAAGTGAGGGGATCTTGTCCCTCCCTGCAATTTCCATGGAACCTGCAGGCTACGTTCTCTGTCATGACCCCGATGGATTGGCCCCAAAGCAAGGGAGTGAAGTGGACCCAGATGTTCCTCACTGCTCCCAGACCTAGGAGGTGGCTGTGCAGGAGAGACAGCCATTTCCCTTGGACAGCGTGTTCAATTAGCTGCGTCACGAGAGATGCAGCCGAAGTCCTGGCGATGGTAGGAGGCAGGCAGGTGCTCTGGCAGGGGCTTGGAACAGCCCCTTCACCGGGCCAGTCTGGCGTGTGATAACGAGAGACAGACGCCAGATTGTCAGACTGTTTGGCCGGGGGAAGGACCCTTCTGAGCCAGCCCAGGAAGCAGCAAGACGTCTCCCGCATGCGGTGTCAGGAAAGGACACGCTGCCAGATGACCCAGCAGTTGCAGGCAGTTTCTTGCTGTTGCCGGGGGGGTGTCAGCACCGTGAATCTGTCCGCAGGGAGGCAGGCGCTGGTGGTTGTGGCTCTCGGAGAAGCACCTGTGAAGTTTGGCTGTCGAGCTGCAGTCCGAGGGGGCCTTCCAGATGGCTGCTGGCCTGCAGAGGGGATTTTGAGGAGCAGCCAGCCCTTGAGTGACCAGCTGCCAAGGAAGGGAAAACAATTATTCCCCGCCTGCAAAGGGCAGGGCGTCTATTGGCAGGACTCAGGAGCAAACGCTCGGGGCAGAGGAGTAGCCGGAGGGGGAGCGGGACACCGGATCCATCCTGGCTGAGTGGGAAAGGAAGGGACTGCTTGCGAGGGGGTGACTGGAACCGGGAAGTTCTCACCCTCAGGCCCGCCAGTGGAGGGGGAGAGAGAGTTGCCCTGGGGTCCAGCGATTCAACAGAGCCCAGGGCTCCTGGCTGCTGCTCCTGTGGTAGCAGTGGCAGCTGGCCCGGAGGGGGAGCGGGACACCGGATCCATCCTGGCTGAGTGGGAAAGGAAGGGACTGCTTGCGAGGGGGTGACTGGAACCGGGAAGTTCTCACCCTCAGGCCCGCCAGTGGAGGGGGAGAGAGAGTTGCCCTGGGGTCCAGCGATTCAACAGAGCCCAGGGCTCCTGGCTGCTGCTCCTGTGGTAGCAGTGGCAGCTGGCGCCTCTGGCCCTTTAAATCGCCCCCGGAGTGCCGTGTTCTGCATGGCTCTGAGGGCTGCAGGGGAGGGGCCCCGTCGGGGGGTGGGGGGGGGAGAGGACATGGGGGCAAAGACTTCACGTGTCCCCCCACCCCCAAACCAATCACGGTCTGTGGGAGGGGAGTATGGAAGTGCCCTGGCCCGCCCCTTCTGCCAGAGGCCCCGCCCCTTCCTAGAGCACAGAGCTAGTGCCCCCCGCCTTGCCCAGGGCACACAGAGGCTGTTGGCGCCCCTGCTCACCCCGAGGTGGAGAGCCACGCACCGAACCCTGACACCTAATGGCAGAGCTAAGGGAGGCAGCACTCCTGGTTAGGAGTCCAAGATCAATACCAGGCTCCATCGCCCGTTCTCTTCTGGGACTCGGAAATACGTGGACCAGCGCCTGGCGCTCGGTGCTGGCTGAGAACGGTCTCAGCAAACGGCTGGGAGATGGGTCACTGTGCGGGGCGTGGAGGCGGGAGGTGAAAGGGGAAGAATAACCCACTTGTACAGCCCCCAAAACCGGGCTGAAAGGGGAGAGATGGGTTGTGCGGTTGCCGCTGATGATTCCTGAGCGGAGGCTGCCCCGGGCTCTCGACCGCACCTCCAAACTGACACTGGGCAGCGGAGGAGGCGTGGGGGCCTCTTCTGGCAGGCTGGCTTGTTCTTAGCAGCTTGGCAGGTCCACGGAGGCCCGGGCACTGGACAAGACAGGCGCTCTGGGCCACTGGGGACGCACGAGGATTTATATACAGGTGTGTGTGACAAGCCATCTGGGAGGGACCCCTGAGCCTCAGTTTGCTGAGTCATCCCAGGGCCAGGAGGTGTGATGAGTCCAGGGGTCAGCCAATCCGCAGGCAAGGCCCCCGCTGGTCCCAAGGCAGGGACATAGGCTGCTAGGGAAAGCCGGCTCCAGTCAGCTCCATGGCATTCCCAGCAGGAGCGCTCCCATGGCCTAGCGGTCCTGACAAGCTGTCCTCACTCCTGCTCCAGCCTGGGCCTGTTTCTCCTTCCCCTTTCTCCTGTCTCTGGCTGCCCAGCAGGGATCACCTGGGCACCGAGCCCCTGAGGGCAACCCGGACTCCTCCAGGGCCTGGGAAGGATCATGAGGGGACTCGCTACGGAGCTCAGATGGACACAGGAAGGTTTCGATGGTATTTCGGGCTCCCCTAGGAAATCCTGCAGCCAAGATGCTCGACACTCGGCAACAGCAGCGGAGGTGGAAGAAGCTGGGGTGCCGGCTGTGTCTTAGCCATGTTCCTGTGGGGGCTCTGAAGGCCTGGAACGGCTCCTGGGGGCCCAGGGGAAGATGAGCAATGCCAGGGTTGGGCTTCCAAACAGGATTCTGGGATGCGTTAACAGGTGTGTTGTGAGCAAGACACGAGGAGGCATTCTTCCGCTCTACTCTGCGCTGGTTAGGTCTCAACCGGAGTACTGTGTCCAGTTCTGGGTACCACATGTCAAGAAAGATGTGGAGAAATTGGAGAGGGTCCAGAGAAGAGCAACGAGAATGATTAAAGGTCTAGAGAACATGAGCTACGAGGGAAGGCTGAAGGAACTGGCTTTGTTTAGTTTAGAAAAGAGAAGATTGAGGGGGGACATGATAGCTGTTTTCAGGTATCTAAAAGGGTGTCACAAGGAGGAGGGAGAAAACTTGTTCATCTTGGCCTCTGGGGATAGGACAAGAAGCAAAGGGCTTAAACTGCAGCAAGGGAGGTTTAGGTTGGACATTAGGAAAAAGTTCCTAACTGTCAGGGTGGTGAAACACTGGAATAAATTACCTAGGGAGGTTGTGGAATCCCCATCTCTGGAGATAGTTAAGAGTAGGTTGGATAAATGTCTATCAGGATGGTCTAGACAGTACTTGGTCCTGCCATGCGGGCAGGGGACTGGACTCTGACCTCTCGAGGTCCCTTCCAGTCCTAGTGGTCTAGACTTCCCCTGACACTCACGTGATCACGCTTTGCCATCACAGCCTGAATTCGCTGGGGGCCTTTCGAAGCAGGCCAGTGGGAGGGGCGCCCCAACTCGCTGCGGAGCGTTTCGAGTGCTAAGTCCTAGGCCAGGGGGGGACGGCGGGCGAGGGGGCCCTGTGCTCCCTTGGCGGTGGCTGCACAGGAGGCCCCTGGGCCAGGACCCCAGGCTGGTTGGAGGGAGCACCCCATCACGAGGCCCCTCAATGGAATTGCCAGGAGTTTTAGCTCTGCTTTTGAAGGCTGAGCCGGTCGTGGAGCTGGCTGGACTCGTAGGGGTCGCCCAGACAGCGGATCCGCTGGGAACGGCCCTCACTGCGGGGTGAAGCTCAGCACACCAGGCCGATGCCAAGCCCCAAGGCAAACCCCTCAGGAAGTGGGGAGGGACCATGAAGCAGAACCTCCCCGCAGGAACTAGAGGGACAATGAGGAAATAACCGCGAGAGCCAAGGAAACCGACCCTCAAACAAAGAACTCGAGGCTCCGCTAGAGCAAAGCTGAAGTGAGCCAGGCTCAGGCCGCCGGGTGGCTGGGAAGGAAGAGCAGGCAGTTTGCCCGCGCTGCTCTGCATGCCCTCAGCAGGGGCCACAAGGAAGTCTGGGGTGCGTGCCCGGGACGCACGGGCCCTGCTACCCAACGTCTCCACGCGACAGTGCACAGGCGCTTGTGCACCTGAGGGGGGAACCCGCAGCACACTGCTCGGAGCAGTGGTGGCACTGCACAGTTGGCTGAAAGGCTCTCTACACAACCCTCACCCACACAAGGGTGCTGTGAGGCTCAATTATAATGGGCCAGGCTCCCAGCAGAGATGGGTGGCTGATGTCTAAGGCAGGGGGAGGTGTTGCCTTCCCAAACCATCAGCCTGGCCCCGCCCACACTCCACCCCCAGAATGCGTGCTGGAGGCGGAGTGTTGCTGCCCCCAATGCCCACCTCCTGGTGCTGGAGAGGCCAGGCCAGGCCAGGCGGCACGCCCTCCTCTGCGGCTGGGGGGCTGGGGCAAGCGTAGGTTCCCCCACTCCCTTTGCTTCCCTGTGGTTGGGAGTGGGAGCACATGTGAGGCATGCCGTCCCACCTCCCTCTGCAGGGAAAGGGGCGGGGCCTCAGCAGTAGGGGCGGGGCTGGAGGTGGGGCTGGGGGCTTGCCTTCACCAGCCAGCCATGCCAGCAGATGTAAATTGGCATCACTCCACTGAAGCCGGGTCGTGCTGCTTTGCTGGCCCGTGGCCCTCCGATGACATGCCCCAGGTCTGATTCTACTCACATCCCACGCTGGGGCTGGGGAGGGCCCCTCGGCCTGGGGGCAGCCTTTCTAGACGGGGCGTCACCAAGCGCGTCCCTCACCTTCCGTCTTGATCTTGAGGGCTGTCCTCACCAGCGCGAAGAGGGTGGCGTTGAAGGTGACGGTGCCGTCGCTGTTCAGGGGCATGTTCATGCCCACCAGGCGCTGCACGACAGACCCCAGGCATGGTCACCCCCAGCCGGGAGACACCTCCCACCCCCCGCGCGGGCAATGCACGGTGACAGGGCCAGGCCGAGGGGAGAGGCTGAGCACGGACAGCGGGGCTGGAGAGAACCTCGCAGTCCCTGGGCGTTGAAGGTGACGGTGCCGTCGCTGTTCAGGGGCATGTTCATGCCCACCAGGCGCTGCACGACAGACCCCAGGCATGGTCACCCCCAGCCGGGAGACACCTCCCACCCCCCGCGCGGGCAATGCACGGTGACAGGGCCAGGCCGAGGGGAGAGGCTGAGCACGGACAGCGGGGCTGGAGAGAACCTCGCAGTCCCTGTGCGCCCAGCAGCCCCGTGACAGGGTCCATGACAACAGCGCACAGCT